CTTCGATCTTGGTCCACAGATTTAAATTCTTATATTATCTGTCCTCAACAGGTGCTGCTCCAAGCACACGGTCCAAACAAACAGTCTACATTTTAGCAAATGAGTGGAAGAAAAGGTAGAAGTCCTCTTTTTAAAAAAAAAAAAAAAACAAAAACAAAACAAAACAGAAAAACCCCCACCAAAACACCCCACCACTCAGATATGAAAAGAAACAATTTGCTCAACTTCACAGAAAAAAATAATTTAAAAAAGTCAAAAATCATGCAAGGCCTTTTAATGTGGCTGTTAGATACCAGATAACCAGAGCTGCTGGAAATCGAGGGGTTGCCTGAATCACTGCAAAACATCCTGCCTGCCAAGCGCTGGGTTTAAATTCCATCAGCAGTTCAGAGAGCAGGGGGAAACACAGGAGAAAAAGCTGATGGAACCGCCCAGCCCTTTCCAACAGCTGGCACAGCAAACCCTTAGAAGACAGAAGGCTGTGATTACCTGCAGCACAGGAAGCCTCATGGCCTCTTTTTTCCCCCACCCCACTTTCAGTACAGCCACAGCGCCAAGATCCCTGGTGTACAACACCCCGAGTCCTTGCACTCCACTGGCCCAAAGGGCTGAAAGTCCTTCCCTGCTGCAAGTGTCCGTTCGAGGGCTGAGCTGAGACCCGGGCAGACAGCCGCAGCTTTGCCAAACTTTTATCTGATCCCAAAGGCAACCGGCGCCCACAAGGCAACCCCCAGGCTATGCTGGCTGCTTCCCTTCAAACCCCCACCTGGTTTGGGGACAATTTAATCTCCCCAACAGCCTTAACTGGAAAACATCAAGAAACAAGGGACGCACCAGCGAGAGCCCTGGGCCGATCAGCCATCAGACACAGTCCGAGCCTTTCCGGCTCTAAAGAGCACAACGCGAACACCAGTTCGGAGGGAGACGCTCCCCGCAGGCCATGCAGCAGCGCCAGCTCTGCAATGTGTCCGCAACAGGAAGCAACTGCAGCAAACGGCTTTTGATCAAGAAGCTTCACGGTATGGGAAAAAAGGAAACTGGATCCTCCTCTCAGTGCATCCCAGCTGGTGCTCAATGTACCTCAGGATGTCTAGAGGCTACAATAAGAATTGCCTTAAAAATGCAGATCAAGCTGAAGAAGGAAACTTCAGCTGCAGCTGGAAAGGGAAGAGGGAAAACCCCCTTTTCTCAGCCTGAAAGAGGTCACAAAAGAGCCGCCCCTTTGCTGCTAGATGGGTACTCACGAGGTTCTGAACTCACATCCACCCACCTCAACTACAGCTCTCCTCAGAGCTGGGAAAAAACGAGGCAGAATTACCTGGTCTGCACCAACCACATCAACATCGACATCTTCAATTGTGTCTTCTGCCTGACCCTCCTCTGAGGCATCTTCTCTCTTAATCTCACCTTTGCTGGGAAAAAAAAAAAAAAAAGCGCCAAGTCTTGAGAAAATTTGTAACAGAGGCCGCACGTTGCACAGGTGTGCTTAAGGCAGAGCAGTTCACATATTAAGACCTGCTGCTGAGTCACCCACGTAAGGCAGCCCAAAGTTTCCGGCCCAGTATTTCCCAGGTATGAAAGAGGTTACGCTCTGAGGAATTTCCAGTAAAGCAGTTCCGAAATTAAATATTAATTTAAACAGGGGCTACCTTCAAGTTTAATAAATTTTTGTTCTATTTTACTTGTATTGAGCAGGTCCGTTCAACAAATGCTCCAAAATCTGGAAAAGCATGCGTCTTTCTGGCATTTATGTTTCATCTTTTAACCTACCAATATGGGAAATGACACCTCAAACGCCTCAATAAATGAACTGTATTAAAGGAAAATATCCCAGCTGAGCACCTTGAGTGCTTTACAGAGCTCAGAAGTAGACTCCAGACTCCCTGTTTCTGCAATACCTCTCTTACATCCAAGTTCTGTGGGGTTTCACTCCGGTGTGTTGGCACGCT